GGCCGGTACAGATCATCTACTAAAGGAGGTACGTTGCACTACAGTCAATATCCTGAAATCAGGGTATTTTCTGGTTACTAACAACCCCTATGTAGAATTATACAAATGTGCTTCACCTGGGTTAATCTTTGATCAATTACAACAAAGATCAGTACCATTTCAAACACTCTGTAGATATTTGCCCCCAAGACCACACCTGCATGTTTAAGTGGCAAGAACTACATAACCATGCTACCATGTAACTCTTTGTAAATATTGATGATGATTGATCTTTCTCCTTAAGTTGAGCAGGTATCACAAACAGATCAATAGCTTAAGCTGCACAATCCCTGCTCTCTAAACAAGAACTGGGCTACTTAATTATGCATCAATCTCACATTTAACACTTACAAAATGCTTTAAAGGGATTAAAATATATCTTTTATCATTTTACACAGTGAAGTATGGCAATTAACAATGCCTTTTTAAAAATGAGTCATTCTCAAATGTTTTATTTAATCACAATTTAGGTAATTAATTACAATGCAGCAGGCTATTGAATCATGACTGCATCCTATCATCTGGAAATTATCGAACTAAATGTTGCTTTGGGGTCATTTAGAAACATACTAATACATATTTCAGATGAGGATAAGACTTTGTCTAAATTTTTCAAAAACAATCATGTCATCTTTTACACATAACAGTATATATATATATATATATATATATATATATATATATATATATATATTAAAAAAATAATTAAGAATCCGATTTAAACTGGATAAAATGTATACTTTGAAGACCAGTACTGCCCTAACATTCTATATATACATTTTAACATTATTTCATTTAATTCACCAAGACGTATAAATATCAATAATTGAAAGGAACACTTACTTGACCACTGGCATTCCAGGGGGCTGGCGTAGCACCTTGGGGGACGCCGACATGGGGTAGGGTACGCCATCACGCACACCCACCTTGGTGGGTGTTAGCGTCACATTATAATTCTGTCCCTTACTAGAACGTTCCCCAAAACTCGACTGTCCCTTGTCATAGTCATGATCATATTTTATGGCACGCGAGGTTGTTTTGTACTTATATCCATCCTGATTACTGCTTTGATTGACGTGAAGGAGTTCTGGAGGGGTGCAGCTCTTTGGCTCCTGGTAGCCTGCACCAATGGCAAAGTTCTGCTCAAAAGTCTGTGTCTGAGCCTGCTGGAGGTACTGTCTATAAAGTTTACCTGACAGCCCCCTCACAGGAACTTGACAGGTATGGTGTTTTCTATACTGTTCTATGTACTTTCTAATATCATAGTAATGTCTGAATTTAAAATCAATTTCTTTTTGTCTTCCGTGAGGGTCTCTCCAGTTTGCCGGTGCACCATGTGAGCTGTCCTCCTTCTTTTTGGATGTGCCATTGTTATTGTTGTTAATTTCTTTCTCTGGACGACGTAAAGCAAAACCGGTTCTAGGGATCCACTCACAAATCTCTGTTTGGGATTGCACAGAATTTTTGCTGGTATTGCCTTTCCTTGGAGTTTTGATTTGAGTATTGGTTTGAGCAGTTTTGTCCAGATTTTCATCTGCATCAAATAATTGTTCCTGTATCTTTCTGTCCAGAAAGAAGTTGTATTCATGATTGGCCTCGTTCCTCTCATCAGTTGACATGACTGTGTGTCCACTGAAAGATGCTGGAAGACATATCTCCGGCATCTATGCTGCCTGTTGTATCAAATCCCACACCTCTTCTATACATAGGTGCACCTATAAGTTTTCAAGTTAACACAGATTTATGAATCATATTAAACACCAAATAGCTTTAAAATTATAACAGTTTTAAAGCATTTTTTTTCTCATATCATGTGAGAACAACACACATACGTTTTACCAAGACTGCAGTAACTTTTTTTTGCACTACAGTAGTACAACGAAGATGGCAAAATAAAATAATCTTTTATCTACCTTTTTTGCATTTTCTTTTGAATTAATACACCAATAAATTAATTACAATAAATTAAATACACATAAATAAAGGCTCCTGAGCAGTTTAAGTCTACAATAAATCCCATTCTACAATGCCTCTAGTCTTGGTGCGCTATTTGGCACCGATGCGAACCTCACTCCCTGCTACATCGCAAATGCTCACATACGTTACTGGAAGCCGAGATTCAGGGTTCACAGTTCAGGGCACTTTTTAATATGACTTTTACGACTCCAACAGACTTCCCCACAGTCGCGTGCCCCTAAACTAATAAAACACATTTACTGAAGTGTCCTTAAAGAACCGCAGTCGACAAAGAGAAGCAGCAAAAAGTGGGCAAATATTGACAAAACGGATTCACACACCTTTCATGTGTCACTCCTGCCTGGCAACTGTTTAACCGTATGTGGATACTTGTGAATGTGGAGCATCGCTGTTGAATAAACCTCCCACCGAAAAGTGCAACTGGTCTTTGTTCTTTCGCTTCATTCGTGCTTTTAAATGTTCAGTTTCGACTTCATATTTTACCATAAAAAGTTTTTTGTTACGTTTTAATAAACAGATATTAATTTTGCTATCGAATTTTAAATAAGAAGTTTATATTCGCGTTCCCTGGGTTTTGCGACAGCTAAAAATGGTTTCACGCATGCGTATTAAGGCAGAAAAGCCATCATGGCGAACCGAAGTTATTGGTTGACAGTTTGTAGGATATAAAAGGTGAGATAAAACTTAAATATCAATTAAATAGCGTTGTGGCTCTCAGCAAAGGAAGGAGACTTGAATATTCACCTAATGTTGAGGCACGATTAAAAATTGGCGCAGTGTAAAGACTGATAACGTGCATAGCAACGGTTGTTTACATCTTTGTCTCCACATTTTTTTTCATCAGTGTGTTTGAATTACCTCTGTTCTGTGGTAGATTAAGTACAGTGTTTCCCCTGCACTTAAACGAGCGAGGCGCCCGCCTCGCTGAAATTTGCAAGCGCCTCGCTGAAATTTGTCAAAAGCACCGCCTCGTTGGGCTGAATGGAACGACAAAGTATATTTTCACTCATACTAACTGAAAATTATATTTATTTCTAAGCAAATATGGCATTTTCTGTTTACATACGTAATCCCATGCTTCTGAGCACTTGATTTAGCAGTAACGGAAATACGCATGCGCTTATGCCTT